GGGGGATATTTATTCATAATGCTCTTTATAAGGTACAAAGTCACTGGTCTCGTTATTGCTTTAAAAAATGTTTTCTTTTAAACGTTCAGAAAAGGTTAATAAATTAATCAATATTAAAAGCATTTTTAAAAAAGCGATCAGTTTACAAACTGATCCAAAAGGAGCGAAATTAATAAAACCATTTCCAGAAAAAGAGCGTTTTTCTTTTAAACGCTCTGAATGAAGTTACAAATCAATCAAAAAGGATCGAAATGAGTAATGAAAACATTTCAAAAAAGAGCGTTCTTTCATAAACGCTCCCTTTCACATTAAAAATTAATCAACAAAGAGCGAAATCATTGCTTAAAATGTTGCTCAAAAAGGAGCATTTCTTTTAACACGCTCCTTTTAATATTAAAAACTGATGGAAAAGGAGCGAAATCGTTCAATACAAAAAGGAGCGAAATTCGCTCCGAATATTTCGCTCCGCGGAAGGATTGTAAAACGCTCCGAAAGGACGATGCACTTTCAAGTACGGAAAGGAGCGAAAAATCGCTCCATCGGAGCGAATTTCGCTCGTTTGGTTTAAGCGTGTAGCCTCTTGCAATGGCGTACCTACAACTTTTGCCTCCCGGGGCGAACTTGCAGCGTGCCGCCCTTTCTTCACAAATTACGTAGGGCACATAAACCTCAAAATGCAACTACATCATTTTTCGGCTTTGCCAACATTTTTAAATATTTAAATCTTATCCACCAAAGTTTCTTTAGTATCTTGTGGCATCTTTGGCAAATTTTAAAATTTCAACTGTAATTTTTTACAGTTTTATTAAGTATCTTAATTTTTCAGATTTATTCACTTAGTAATTAACTTAAATATTAATTGCCTTAACTTTTATGTCTTTTCCTTTGATGTTTAAAGTTTATTAAATTATAAATCAAATTTATTTAACGAAACTATTTGCTCGCCGGAGGTTTGTGTGAGTTAACAGTGTAGCGTCACCTGTCTGGAAGTATTCCTTTGTCTTTTTGGTTTGAAGTTCCTGAAGTGATCGCACGCATCCTGGAGGTTCGAAACCGTTGGGATTTTATTCCTTCGGTTCTCGGCCTCTCAGCCGTGCAGATGAGTTGATTAGATATGCTTCTGTAAGAAGAGATGGAATAAAAAAATGATCTACAATAATAATAAATAAATAAATAAATTCCTGGAAAAAAACATTTTATTGGCAACATAATCCGCCGCATAAGGCCCTCGATCTCTACAGATAGGTTACGAAATCGCGCATGTCTCTTCCGCATATCGGCAATTTATCGAAATAAAGTGAAAAATGGGAATTAATTCATTGGCTATTTTGTTATGTACGCAATGATTGAGCAGGTGCCTCTGCTATTCTGAGTTATAAGATTATTTTCCTGTGTGTCTGATTTTGCCACCCCTTTCGAAGTGACGCCCCCCCCGTAGCGATACCACTGACCACTGAGGATATTGTTTGAACTTTTTTTATTTGACTCGTTTCAACTGACGATTCATTTCTTTTGGCATTACTTTCGCCCATTTTGTTATTAATGAAAATACGTACAAATTTTTCACCTTTGACCAAAACCCATTAACCAACATTTAATTATTTAAGAAATTATAATTAAACTAAAAGCAGGGGGAGTTAGAAACACAAAACAAGTACCGAAATTTCAATTAGAGTTTTCGGGAATACTAAGAAAAAAATAAGACTACTCTCTTGTCCAAGTTTCAAAAGCAACTCCAAACTAATCTGACAAAACATCTCTACTAATAATAAAAGAAAATGTATGTGTGTAGTCTAACCGCTGGACCTAGAGATACAAAATTTGACACAAACATAATTGAGAGAACGGGGATGTGCACCCTCGGAGCAGTTTTTGTTTTCAAATTTTAATTAATTAGAAATTAAGAAAAATTTTGGAGTTGAAAATTCAAAAAATTATCTTTTTAGTGATATCAATTAAGTTGCCGTAATATTAATAAATTTTTCAGTCTACGAAGGAAATAGTAGCGAGCGACAAATGCGATTTTCGGAAATTTGGCCCCCCCCCCCCCTAAATTGAAACTTCGTTTTGATAGTCTCCAGAAGGACGAGATGGAACCAAAGGTGTGGTGAAATCTTGTGTGTTACCTATAATAAAATCTCTTACTCAAAAACGTTAAATAAGATCCTATTAGTTGTGGTACCCTCAACGTGCATAAAAATTGCGAAAATACGCAATTTTTATGCTGGCCAAATACACTTTTTTTATGCAAAATATCAAATTTTGGGGAATGCGCAAATTTTATGTTTCATCGTAAATCCACATTCATAATTTTTTTCTGAAAACACCCAGGCCTTGGGTAAATGCCCGGGTTATATACCCCAAAAATATTTACCCACCCCATATTACTGGTCGTATGCGAGAAAGTTTCGGGGAGGCTACCAGCTGGTTTAGTTTTCAGATAGAAAAGTGATACTTTTGCAATACTCCTGGAGCCATCTTATCTGCACTTATATGCGTTTATTATATCTATATTAGTTGAGGTTGGTAAACTTCACTGTTGTGTTTCTTATCATTGCTTGCCAATCGTTTTCCTTAACAAAGGGAATCACATCTAAATTTGAGAGTATTGCTCAATCCTGTTGTCCTTCCATCTAATTCGAAAATCACATTTTTTCTGCCTGGTCATCATATTTATAACAACAAGTGTCTCTTTGTATGTTTCTTGAATGATGTAATATCTGTTAATGAGCATCCATCGGTGCGATTAGAACGAAATCTCAATGGAGAAGACAAGATTTAGATCCCGCCTGCCGAAGCTTACGCAGGAAGTTGGTGATGAGTCATGGAAGATGTCATAAAATCATAGAAGCAGAGATGAGCTGCCATGAAGATGCCATAGGAAACCATTGAAGCAGATGAGCTGCCATGGAAGATGCCATAGAAATCATAGAAGCAGATGAGCTGCCAGCGGAAGATGCCATAGGGAATCATAGAAGCAGATGAGCTGCCATGAAGATGCCATAGAAAATCAAGTTGAAGCAGATGAGCTGCCATGGAAGATGCCATAGGAAACCATTAGGCAGATGAGCTGCCATGGAAGATGCCATAGGAAACCATTGAAGCAGGATGAGCTGCCATGGAAGATGACATAGGAAATCATAGAAGAGATGAGTTACAAGCCATGGAAGCTACAGGGAAATCATAGAAGCAGATGAGCTGACATGAAGATGCCATAGGAATCATAGAAGCAGATGAGCTACCATGGAAGCTGTCATAGGAAATCATAGGCTAAAGAGGAGCTGCCGCTAGGAAATCATAGAAACAGCATGAGCTGCCATAGGAAATCATAGGAAGCAGTTGAGGCCGCCATGGAAGCTGCTCATAGGAAATCAGCACATCGAAAAGGACAAAACCGAGGACCAGTAGCAGTTTTTTCATATCGAGGTCCTCGAGGTCGAACTGAAAGCATCGCATACAGTAAAACTAAAGATTCTACTCAGTGGCCGAGAGGGGTCATCCACCCCACAGGCTTCCTCAAAAGAGAATTTAGACAAAACAAGCCAAAAAGATTAATTTATGAACTGTAAAAAGAAAATACACAATAGACAAGAAAGTAAATATAAATAAAAATAAAATAAAAAAGAAAGTTTAAAATTAAAATCTCAATGGAAAAGAAATAAGTATATCCCCGATTCTTTCCAAATGGTAACCAATGTGTTCGTTTTGAGTCTAGCGTCCCCACTAGGGTCGCAATGAAAAAATGCAAAAAAATGCTATCGAAATCTAAAATATGCGTAATTACAAAACAAAACAAAACCCATATTCACAATTGTATTCATTGATATATATCAGTATATACACCAAAATTGTAAATTAATTGATAAATACTTATCAAAGTTTAGAGTTCGCAAAAAAATTACTTTCGAGTTTGATTTGAAAATGTGTACAGTACATCAACTTAAAATATAATACCAGCCTCTATCTACTAATATAAAAGAAATTTTGTAAAATTTATGTTTAAAAAATAATTCATCTGAGTTTATATTAAACCTAGAAGCGCCCCTAAAAATGCTCTTAATGAATTAACTCGCGTTCTTTTGCCAGTGCTAACGTTGTGATAAAATAAATTAATTTCTTTAGGCATCAATTTCAAAGCAGTGTAAATATTATTTGTAATGTGTGCCGCCCTTTAAAAAAAATAAGTTTGAAAAATTTGCTAAAAAAATATCGAATTAAGTCTTTTAAAAAACTATTTGGTAATCTCTATAAGTCCTAATTCTTCTTGTTCTTCCCTCTTAAAACTCAAATCACTTTTTAATGGGATCAAAAGAAAGTTTTGTCTTATTCTGTCTTCAAAATACCGTTGATTTGCTTCGAAACTTTCATTAAAGTTCGGGGTAAATGTTTTCTAAGTCTCGATAGTAGGCATTTACAAAAGAAACAGAAGACATTGTGACGACATTTCCAAGGAACACTTTCGGGCAACCCTTAATCCCTCCTCCCTGAAGACTCAGGTTGCCATAGCAAACAGAATCTTGAGCGGTGGCTTCGTCGTGGGTTGGATGGTTTGCTTTTCGGTCGAAAAAGCTTTTCTGCCCCAGTCTGTTATTGATCGTAGCGAACGGTAGCGTAACTGCGATGAGCACATGTCGTCCGCGTGGCTCCAATGGATAAGGCGTCTGGACTTTCGAATCAGAAGATTGCAGGTTCGAATCCCGTCGCGGACGAACTGAAAGGGCTTTCCTTTTTTTTTTTTTTTTTTTTTTTTCTTACTTGTTAAGTGCTTGTAACGATTAAATTTATTTATATTGTCCATGTGTTATGGTGAATTTCGGATTCATTCATGGTTGAATTCATTGCTTAATTCTTAAGGTAACAAAAAAGTGTGTATATTATAAAAATATATATATAGAACTTATGAGTTTTATGAGTGCTGAAAACGATTATATCCTTTTTTTTATTTATTATTCTATTACGATTTTGTAATTTTTTTTATATTTTCTTCAATCATAAAATGATATTCAAATTAGAGAAATTTCAATACTCGTCTTTATGTTATTCAAAATATTGAGAAAAGGAGATAATGGATGGCTACAAAGAAATAGCCATATGACCAAAATATGAAAATATTTTGAATATTACTTTAAAAAAATCTTCACTAACAATTTTCGTAAGAGATAAAATGAATTTTGTTTATTATTATTATTCTTATTGTATTTTATGCTTTAAAAGATGAATTTTTTATTTTAAGAGTAAGTGTACTTTTACAAGTATTCATTTAAAAGATTGAAACGATGGTACAAAGATTAAAAAGGTATATAATGGTAATTCTCACTAAAGAAAAGAAAGACAGAAAATTTTGAAAAAAAAATAGAAGGAATTAAAGACGATTTTTTTTTGTTTATTTATTTTAAAAGGAATTCTATTTAATAATCAATAATTGCCATTTTATCTTTGTATTAATAAATTAACTTAAAGCTTTAAACAAATAAAATAATAAATTATTATTTTTCATAATAGTAATTTATAAATTTCTATTTCAGAAATAATTATTCATATATTATAAATATTTGCAAATAAATTAGTATAAATAAATTATTATACTAATTTTTTTGAAAATCATGTTATTAGCACAAATAAACAAATCAAGAAAACATATTTCCTTTTATTATATTTGTGTCAATTTTTGTCGGCTTTTAGAATCTTCAAGAAAGTAATTTTGCTTTTGCGCGTTTAAATAATTATACAAACAAATTCTCCGGGAGCATTTATTGAATCAAATATTTTGAATTAAACGACAAAAACAACATTTCATTCAAATCATTCATGCAGCGAAATTTTCAAATCAATAGATTAAATTTAGTCAAACTGACTGCGATTTCCTCAAAAATTCATTTCTCGATTATTTATATTCTATATAATTTACTTGTTATTCATATTCTTATAAGTTGTTTAAAATCGATTTTTATTATGAATAAATGTCCTCATATTCTGAATAAACTATTTTGATGGAATAATAAGAATAATCCCTTTAGAACCTCTGAGCTTTCGTGGAATTTTTATGATCGTTCAATTTTACTTAAAATCGTTTGCAATTTGTAATGAACGAGTTCAGAAAAATTGATATGCAACAATTCTTAAAAAATTGGTTTTTGCAACATTTTTAAAAACATCGTTTTAAATGTTGAGTAGAGCATAAAAGATTTTTTATAAAACGCTAAAAAATATTTTGATTATCTTAGCCTTCCCACCCCCCTCCCCGAAATTATTAAACTTCTATTGTTAGAAATGAGGCATAAGAAAAGAATGAACAGTAATAAGCTCGAAAATAAATTATGTGCGTAAAAAAAAAAATAGAAAACAGAATCTTTCAAAATTGGCAAAAGTAAAGAAAAATATAAGTTTTGGAGATTCATTACATTTATCTACTCCTTTAGACAAAAGTAACAATTATGGTATTTTTTCTACAAAAGAAAAAAATCTTCCTTATAACCTTTAGAAAAAACATGTAATTTGTAACTCTTTGAGGTATATCAAATTATACATAGATAATATATCTAAAAAATTAATTCACCCTGAAGAATTTTCAAATTAAAATGAAATTCCACTATCCTGAATTTTTTGTATTAAATTATGGTAATAAAACTTCTAAAAAAGTATTAAACAAAAATAATATGCATCAATGATTAGAAAAAAAATTTCAAAACAATTGCCATCGTTGTCCACGACAGGACTCGAACCTACAATATTGACGCCTTATCCTTTAGCCCACGCGGACTACAAGTTATGTTTAGAAGAGTCGTGGAATGGAGGATTATTTGGCTTACATTTGCTTTCTTTTTACTAGATTTAATCTCATGGCCATCCTTCTAGGAGGGCGCCATTTTTTTTTACCGAATTTTAACGGTAATACCTCTAGACCATCTATTGATGGTAATTTGACATTATTTTTGTAAGCAGATTGAACCGAATTTTGGAGTCATCTACAAACTATAACAGCTTTTTTTTTTGACCGAATTTTAACGGCAATACCTCTAGACCATCTATTGATGGCAATTTGACATTATTTTTAAAGCAGATTGAACCGAATTTTGAAATCATCTACAAACTATAACAGTTTTTTTTTTTTTTTTTTACGGGAACTGCACAACTTCGATTTTTAAATCAATTAGTACAAAATAAAAATTAATTTTATTTTTAAAATACATCACTGACTGCTTTGCTATTGTTTTAATTTCGACAACTAAAGTAAAAATAACATGCCACCAAATAATATTTTTGTTTCCTTGTCAGAGCAGGTCTAATAAGGCATAACAGTAATTTTGGTTTCTTTCTATAATTTATCATCAAATTTCAAAACGAATAAAAAAATTACTGAACAGTTAAAATCTTAATACGTTTGACTACGAAACTTTTTTCATTGTTTCTTTGTTTTAATTATTTTGGTCTTTAAAAAATCAGACCGTTTTAACTGCTAAAATTTTTATAAGAAATCCGCAAAAATGGTAGTTAGGAGGTATTAGGGGAAAATAATTGAAAATTAGTGCAAAAGGATCCATCTAGCATAAACATTCCCAAATCAAAAATTTTGAATAAACATATCTTTCTGTGTTTTTTTTTTATTATTATTATTCCTTTTCCTTTTATTACTTTTATACACATTTTTTTCCATATTGCATACATTAAAACTATTTCAAAATTTTTCTTGCAAATAAGGATTTGAAGCATGTAGCGGTTACAATCAACTGCCTTCTCCTTTCTATGGTAGGTGGCGCTACTGGAGCCATCTTTTCCCATGATGCCTCTCTGTCATTCTAGTCAGTGTGCTTGTCTCGAGATGTTGTACTCTGTTTTGTCTTGCGTGTTGTAACTTTAATGTTCTGTGCTGTGGAACGTAGCCTAATAAAAATGGTTCCTAAAATTGAATGGATTCTTCAGCAGCACTACACACAAACTTGAGTCTCATCCCTCTATAAACAAATATATATAGAGAGAGAGAGAATAATAATTGAATCGTTGAGTTCAGAAACCACACGAGTCAATAATATTAAAATGCTGGGAGCTTTAAAAAAACTGATTAAATTTTTAAAACAATGATTAAAATGTTTTATGATTGGTAGATTTTGCATACCTATAATCTGGCTTTAGTTGACTCTTGACATTTTTTCACTCATTATGTAAACATCTCTTAAGAATGGGAAAACAGCATGAAGGCAATTTTGAAAGAAGAAAAAAAGAAAATGTCTCACGTGGTTTCTGCAATCAACGATTCAATTAATAAGCAATTTTATTTGAGAATAAATATTTTAAATTTACTAATGAAAATTTTCGACTCAAAATTTTCGAACTCATACGGTTTCTGCAATCAACGATTCAATTAATAAGCAATTTTATTTGAAATAAATAATTTAAATTTACTAATAAAAATTTTCGATTCAAAATTTTCGAACTCATACGGTTTCTGCAATCAACGATTCAAGTAATAAGCAATTTTATTTCAAATAAATAATTTAAACTTACTAATGAAAATTTTCGATAGAATGAATACGGCTATAACTAAATATAAAAAGAATAATATGATTATTAATTACAAAAAAAACACATTGCAAAATCGTTCTTTAGAAATCTATTGAAAATAATTTCTCACCTCGTATCTGCCGCTGTCATTCAATACTAAAAATTTACGAACAAGAAACTGTTTAACTACTCAATTCTGCATTTGGACAGGAGAGTAATAAAAACTGCTAGTATTTGACTAATGGAATGTATTTTTCTTGCTCGAAGAAATGATTTAAGCGTAGAATATTTTTTGTGAACATAAAAAAGAATTATTTCATAACAAATACAGATTAAAAGAATTAAAAAAAAAACGAACAAAACATTTCAGTAGTTGCTTTTGTAGCGGAGCAATCATTACAAGAAGGAAATCTACTGATTTGTAAATTAAAATTTTAATGCGTTTCGCTGAATTTTACAATATGCAATAATAGAATTTCAGAAAAGTTTGAATTACTTTGGATATATTTCGAAGGCTCTCTTTTCTATTTTAATCAATGGAAATACTTAAGCAATATTATATATTTTGTTCGCTTAGTCGTCGTAGCAATCTAATGGCGCGGACTACGACTTAGATGATAACTAACTTCAAATATGGTGCGCAATTTAATTTATTACCAACTTAAGTACAAAAGCGATGACAAAGTGCATGATGATATTTAACAAAAGAAAGTTATTAGAATAGACCGTAAAAAACCACGTATAGATTATATCAAGGACAAAAACCATCTTTTTTTTTTTTAATAAAGTAGTCACATTTATTGAGAAAGAATTTTCATCTTTGTACAGGGTGTCCGAGAAATGTTGGACACATTTCAAAAAATAATAAAAAAAGCTAACAATTTTTCAACTGCGGGTTTTTTTTTTTGCTATCTCTTAACTGTAGTAGAGAAGGGTCATAATTGGTCGTTGCATTTCTATCTCTTAACTGCTTAGTAGAAGGGTCCTCCAATTTGGATAGTTCATTTCTATCTCTTTAACTGTAGCAGAGAAGGGTCCTCCAATTTGGATGGTTCGTCTATCTCTTAACTGCAGTAGAGAAGGGGTCCTCCAATTGGATCGTTCATTCTATCTCTTAACTGTAGTAGAGAAGGGGTCCTCCAATTGGATCGTTCATTCTATCTCTTAACTGTAGTAGAGAAGGGGTCCTCTCATTGGATAGTTCAGTTTC